CCGCCAAATTGTCATAGCCACAAGTATGTCCCCGCTCAAGATCAGGAGCAGTAAAGTCTCATCGAGAGTCACGATAAAGCTGGGCCAATAAAATCGATTAACTTCATTTTTAAAGTGGGCTTTGATTCAAGAGCTTTCGCAGCGGTGGCAGCTTCAAAGCTTGAAAGTACCTTCGGGTGCTTCAGGTGTTCGTTTACTCGTTCACCGAGGGCAACTATCTCGAGGGTGGGTGGAGTTTTCATGCTCTCGAGGATCAATAGTCAGGCACCCTATCGTTAAGGAATCGCACCCGATTAAAATGTCTGGGCTCTATGCAAATTAGTCTGCGGCTCGCACGCGGACCGCGTCAAGACATTTCGCCCACTTCAGTGCAGGCTTCCTATTGTCTTTAGCCACTTTGCTTTTTCCTTCCTAAAGGAATACCGCCAAGTCTCACGCTACCGAGCGAGAAAAGGAGGAACGAAAAACAGAAGCAGTTTTCAGAAAGACAATTTTTTCGTTTTTTAGGTAATAGCTGCCGGCCCAGCCTCTTGACTAATTCTAAGAGAACCGGCGAGGAGATACGTGCCTTGTAAATTGGATTAAACGTCTTCCTTTCCGATAGAGAGGTTGTACGTCCTATGTTGCGTGGTGCTAGGTTGTAGGGCGCTGTAAGCCACAGGCTGATAACAGGCGTAATCGGAGCTGCTCCTATGTAATGAGGCCTCTAACGCGGCCGTCAGCCACGTCTTTGTTTGCCGATATTTAAAACAGTTGTGAGGATGGGGCCGATGGGGCCGATGTGGCGACTACAAAGCCGTGTTTACACCGTATACAACGGGGACCGTTTACATTCCTGTTGGTAGAGTTAAACGTCTAACGAGTTGTGTGTACAGCGTGCTTCGGGCTTTTCCTGCATTCTCGCTTTTACTTCCTTCCGTTCTTCCTTTCTTCCTTTTTTCCTTTTTTCCTTTTTGTCGTCTTATCATTTTCTTTTTTTTCTTTTTTTTTAATTGATCTACACTATTTCGTATTTTATCACTAAAACGTTACTGCTTTTACATTTTGGGCCATCCCTTGGGAAATGTCTTTGCAGCCGTTGACCTTATTCGTCCCCAGAGAAGACCTCCCTCCTAGCGAATAGACAACAAGGGAGTTAATCAAAAGGCGGCTCCGTTGGATATAGAAGCCTCGACAGTTTTTCTTTTTTTCTTATGTCCCAAGATAGCTGATAAGAAAAATCGGATATTTTTAGAACACGAACATATAATCCTCTTGAATTACCTGAAGTTCGTGGAAGAAAAATGTTGCATAAAAAATGCCATAATTTCACTCTTCATGTTCCGTATCCGTTAAGTCGACATAAAGACAATCCCACTCAAATATCCTTAACCCGAATCTCATTGTCACGTTCAGGCAACGTTTGCACAAGTACCATCCTCCTTGGCAATTCGCCGGGATTTCTTCCCTCGGCGCCCCTAACGACCCACGAGCCGAAAAATCCTTCCGTTCTTAAGGTCATTTCTCGAATTCTCCTGTCATCGGTGCGTTATCTTCAGCGCGAAAGCGAGGCAACGGTAACGACTTGAGGAGCCTAACGAGGACATCGAGAGCCTGACGTACGTCGGATCATAACCAGGACAGTCGCCCCACGTTGAAGTGCTGAACCCCCCCCCCCCCCC